ATTTTTATTATATTGGTCCTGTAAAGGTTATTAGAAAACTAATTTATTCGAGGAAGTTTATTCGTTTAGCCGTTTATTCCCGCTGTTAAGCAGCAGGCGACATTCAATGAGCAAAATTTATTATCTTCCGGTTCAGTTATTGCGACGGACTAGACGTTATCTATTTCACTGTCACCGAGAAACTCGCTCGACGTTCGCTTTACGAATGGCTTGTCGTACTTACAAAATGTATAGTTACGCGGACGCTTTGTTACAGCGACTACTTGTGGAGTTTACAGGAAACGGAGTTACTACATCCGTTTTCTTGAAGATAAATAGAATAAGATTAGAGGGTAGAGAATTATTGTCTAAATTTCAGCACTCGGGGAATAGTCGAATGAATGTTATAATGTTACGATACTGTTGAGGTACAAGGACTCGATGTAGAAAAGGCCAGTCGAGATGCATGTATTCATCGATTCGTGAAAACGATGAAAACACGGTATCAAAAACAACCGAAAGTAATCAGGTCGGAAGTATGTAAACGATAGCTTGCAAGGTTATTTAAAAAAAGAGGGGCTACAGAATGTAAAAACAGATGAAACGGCACGGTGCATGATCCTAGATGCAAATATGGAGAAAAAATACTGGACTGAGGCAGTAAATACCGGCAACTGCTTGCAAAGCAGGTTACCGACGAAAGCGACCGGCAAAACACCATATGAATTATGGTATTCGAGATTGTCAGATGTCGGAAACATAAATACATTCGGTTGTAACGCGTGTGTACGTGTTCCGATAGAGCGGAGAAAGAAGCTGGACGATAAGGCTGAAAAATTCATGTTCGTCGGCCAGTCGAAAGAATTACAGCCGTTTCGGTAACTGGACGTTGAAACGAATCGAATTGAAATTATCCACGACATCATTTTTCTAGATAAAGGGAACGAAGTTAAATTAACTTGTACGGAATGCAACGAGGTCGCATTTTCCGATATGAAAATCCAGGAGAACAATCCAGGAAATACGGAAAGATAATAGACCCGAGGAAGATTCCAGCACGGACGAAGATGTTCCTTTTCACGGAGCAATTAATTTCACGCAACGATTTCCAAATAAACATAGAAGACAGCATAAATTATAACAGTGGTTATGTTTATTGGTTAGAGGATGAGAAGTCCTTTAAAATGAGACTTGTTTCAAATCGATAACGTAATTAGTTCCGGAGATATAGAGGTTCGAAGCGTTTGTTTACGTTTCATTGTTTACGTCGCGAGGTCAATGAACTTTAACTACGGCCTTGTCAAGGTCGTCGACGCGTCAGACGGAGATAGAGATAATCGAATTAAAAAATTATCCTTTCATATAAATTACGATATCTCCAAAACGGAAAATCGGATCGCCAAAAATCAAAAACCATTTTAAAAAGGAAGGTTTACCGTTTTTAATGATGGCTCAGTTATAGAGAAACCCCTAGTAGTTTCGGAACTGCACGCGTGCAAAGGTTTAGTACTTTCGATATGCGTTATTTGTCTGTTTATGAAAATATTCCAATCTGTAAGTAAATGATTCGAATAGTTTCATTCGTAACAATTCTATTAAATGTTTTCGACGTTACTGATGATGATTTTTTAATGGAATTTCGTTTGCTTTGATAGTCTGTCGGCCCTTATTTAACAGGACTAATACGATTTCAATTAAGCCGGTTAAATGAACTGTCGAAATTTGGATATACATTCGACGAGAGCTAATCGGCTTTGCGGAGCTGAACTGGACATAAAATTACGATCGATAGAAAATCGAACAGTGGTTTTGTATTCCAACTTATTGGAGCAACGACAACTTGGAGTTGCAAGAAACTTCAAGTAATATTTCCCTCTTTCTAAGAAAGTTTCTCGTGTTTCTCGAACTTGAACAAAGAGAATTGTTCTTTACTAAGTTGACATCTTTTTCTACCATTGCTATTGTGTAATAGTATCTTATGCACAGTGTATCTCATGTGTAACAAATATTCCTATAACTTAATTTCAGGTATAATTAAAATGCCAACTGTGTCATCCTGTTGCTCATTTTATTTCATTCTGTTCATAGAAGTTGTACTTCAGTTTCCCTTGTACCTCACAATATGTAAACACTCGTTATTTAAGGTCTTCACGAAATTTTCATGCATAATCTTAAAATGTTAGATCGAAATTGTACGATAATACACTCGTAATTTAAGTTCTTTAGACGATGATAGGATGGCGAAACGATTAAGCGCCAAGAGCATGATAAAAAAAGTTAATTGAAATTCCAGCGTTAAAACGTAAAATGGCGAGCATATTTCTCGTAAAATTTGTCGGATTTTTCAGCATTTCACCGGTGCAATAAGTAAGAGAAATATCATTCCTTGACGAATTAAGAAAGCACGAACCTAAGCGGTTTGCTTAATCCTCTTGAAGCTTCCTTTTTAATAATATGGTCAGCTTCAGAATTTTCAATTTTAATTTGTTTACTTTCCTTCGTGGTACGATCTATACAAAATACGACGCTGAAAAACAACGAAGCAGGCAGCGTGTCGCAGAACGAAATTGCATCGTGAAATAAAAATGGTGTTACAACGATCTTAAATCTACATTGCCAATTCACTGTTTCGTTCGCCTCTCTTTATTTTTTGACACGTCGTACAACGTGTTTCTCTTTCGGCCTTTCAAAGCTGAAATATTGTCGTGGCGCAACAAAAGCCTCTCTTTTTCAATTCTTTGCCCAAAAGACAGGAACTTCAAAGTTGTTCTGCCTTCCACTTGTACAGAGTGTTTCGTCAAGTATGTGCATGATATCGAGAAGAAACACAGCGCGCAAAAGTAATAAATATTTGCAACCATGCGAACGAAACAAACAAATCGGCAGGCGAGCAAAAATTCTAAAAATGTCTCATCAAACATGGAACAGCAATATCAAATAGGGAAAATATTTACGTCAACTTCTTTATTACTTTCGTGTACCGAATTCGTTCCAGAATTTATGTCCACATTTTCAAAGCAAAATGTAAAGGGCATCGTTTCGTGAATGTAAATCAAAGGCCATCTTTTGCTGACCAAAATTGAAATTGGACTGACGGTGAATAATGGTGAAACATAATCTGTCGATACCATTCTCCGGATTGCAGTGAAAATGCACATCAAATCGCAGTAAATTCGTATTTATATAGAGCGTCCCAAAAAGACGACACATCGTATCTTAATTATATTTTCTGTTTTAGCATTTTGCTCTTTGTAATGGAATAAGGTGGTAAAAAATTGTTCTATGAAGACTTGCGAGGGATCAAAACGTCATAAATGATACGAAGGTCTAGCCTCCAACGATCAATAATAAATTGCTCGGAAAAGAACTGAGACGCTATTTTTATTCACACCTAGATTTGAACTAAGGCGACTATAGACTTACTTCAACGAAGGACATACATACGTATATATGGACATTTTCCATTGTTTTCAAGTGCCAAACGAATCTCTGAAATATTTTCCACGCATTGCAGGACACCCTGTGCATCACGTATGCCAAACACGTGGCTCGATCAATTATCGTTCGCTCTGAGCATTAATTTTATAATAACGTAATACGTTAATAATGTTAGTATATCGTATACGCTGCATTTCACACGTAACATTTATTCAATTTATTTTTTCCATTAGTGTCGTCGATAACGGAGCATTAAATATTTTGACAAACACGATAGCGAATTTAAAATACCAGAAATATTCCTGAACTCAGAACTACACTGATATTTCGACTCTTTTGCCGCGAGTGCCGACGCAGTCAAACAAAACGAAAAGCGTCTAATTAAAAAGCAATATTGCTGGCTCCCTTACTATTCAACGTGTTTTTCACTTTGCTCACAAACGAATACGGTTCAAATCAACGTTTGGAAAAATATGAGAACTACGAGAATCATGCTTCGAACACGTTTATTGGAATTTTTATTTTATCAGGGAAATTGAGGCCTTCGTTTACGGTGACACCATACTTCGAGTTTTGAAAAAGTTTTCATATTTTCGAGGTTTCCAAGTTTTCATATTTTCATATCGAGTTTTTTATATTTTCTTACATTTCAACCGTTTAGAGATAACACTTATAACCTCCCATTCTTCTTGTTAGACTTTTTTTAAGTTCCTACGGTCTTATTCATCCTATAAATTTTCTGTAGGATTTGGGTACAGTGTTGTGGGGGTGTAAAACGTTCGAGCAATCGTATAGCGAGTATTCATGCCTTATGCATAAGATCAATCTCTCGATAGGATGTAAAAATTCTGCGACAGTCCCTCATTTTATCGGCACTTGGTACTAAATTATTTTGCAATAAATTTAAATATTTACACCGATAATATCCGCCTCCTCCGTCTAGCTTGTTCTTTTCTCGTTGTATATAAAAACGTTTCAACGGTTGAAAAAGTATATTCGTAACGGTGAGTGGAATTGTTCCCTCGCACTATCTCGCGCAACTAAAGACTCTCGTAGAGGAAACCTCCAATTATCATAAATTCGTGCCAAGTACTCTCGAATGGGTCGTCCAAACGTTATTTGAACCGCGGAGGATCGTTCGAATCCGAAAATATCGCAAAGGAAAATTAAGATACGACCGCGATGACGAAATCGTACGGCAAAAGGAAGGGGAAAAAGGAACTAGGAACAGAGATATAGGACTAAATATCGAAAGAAAAATGAGGTTACATGCATAATGGAAGCACGTCGTTTATGGATGTTGTTCATTAGAGTTGCTCTTCCGGTAGGTCCTCCACCTTGCCTCGAATCCTTTGCACTCGTCGTTCCTGCGAGATGAAAGGGTCTCGAAACGCGTCCCTAGATACTCGAGGATGCGGCTAATTGTACGATCGGCTTCGATGATTGCGTCAGGAGGACGCATTCAGCGACAAACTTAAATTACTACTGTACATACACCCCTCCACGATGATTTTAATAACCCTGGGAACCGTAATTACGCGGGATACGATCTGAAATGGCACTTTTCAATCTGGTGTTTTCAGCGTATGCGGGATCCAACACTTTCAGAGAGCGGGGCACAGGCATTTGAATCTGTTTCAAAGCACGTACTACGTGGTGGTCACGTTTTCCACGGTCGGTTACGGGGACTTTGTACCTGACATTTGGCCTTCGCAGCTTTACATGGTCATCATGATCTGCGTTGCTCTCATCGTTCTGCCTACACAGGTACGTACAGATCCTCCGTCGAATCCTCCTTTACACATTCTTTAACCGAGAATTTTTCAAGTATCGTTTCACCTTTCGTTCAGTAAACATTGCTCAGTATCTAAGTTATATATTTATGTATGTATTAATAGTAAGATTTTGTCAAAAATAAAAATTTTGCTGGGATCGTGAGAGAGCCCAGTGCGCCATTCCAGAGTTAATCTTAATCCTATGAAGTTGCGACTTCGTGCCACACATCCAGTTTAAGTGGCATTTCTTCCTGAAAGCTTTAAGTCGTAAATCTCTAAAATCGGTTTTTTTCCATGTAAGACGCTGAGCTTGGTTACTCTACCGTGAAATAATTGCGAATAAAACGATATTGGAATATTTTTTTAATATTCGATTATTACGCCCTCGAACTACGCGGTTGAAAGAATTTCAGTGAATTGTTGCAGAATATTTTATTCGTTCGAAATATGCGGAGATCGTGTCAAACTTGAAAGACCACGGTGTGACAGTTCAGGGTTAAGTCGAAAATAGATCATGCGTCGATCGTCGCTGCCAGATTTACTATACATATACGTCTATCTAGCTTATTTTTGCTCGGCAGATTACGGATCGAATATGGAAAATCCATGCATTCGTGCGAAAAATATGCGCTTATGCAAAACATATGCAAAACACGCGGAATGAAAACTATAGTTTTAGAATTCTCGAATGGACGAACAGATTTCTGTACAGGTCCATGACTTTAATTATTTTCTGAAGGAATATGCATAAATATACACGGTGAAATATATCACACTATATCTGATGATAATACTATTCTTGAATTTTAATTCTTTAACCAATGAATGAACTGAAAGTCGGCTCTAAGTCGATAAAAAAAATATTTACTTTCGAATCGAACAGTTACTTATTTTCGCCGAGATAATGAAAATAAATCTACCACCCTATAGAAGTGCCCTATACAGGGTGTTCGACCACCTCTAGCAAAAATTTTAATGAGCGATAGTAGAGGCCAAAATAAGACGAAAATCAAGAATACTAATTTGTTGATGGAAGCTTCGTTAAAAAGTTATTAACAATTAAATTCAAAAATTTCAAATCGTTCTGGAAAAATTATTTTCGGTTGCGGGGGTCAACTACAATCATTTTTGGTGAGTACACATACCTCCGAAATCCTATCTACTTTTGAGAAAAAAAATCGAGTAGGTGCTGAAATTTTTCGGTGAAAAAAAATTTTTCAAATCGTTCTAAAAAAATTATTTTCGGTTGCGGGGATCAATTACAATCATTTTTTATCATTACACATACCTCCGAAATTGTACGCACTTTCGAGAAAAAAATTCCTTACTGAAAATCCAATTAGGTGCCTAAATTTTTCAACGGAGAAAAAAAATTGCAAATCGTTGTGGAAAAATTATTTTCGGTTGCGGGGGTCAATTACAATCAGTTTTTGTCATTAGACATACCCACGAAATCCTGCCCACTTTCGAGAAAAAAAATAGAGAAGGTGTGAAATTATTCGAGAAAATTAAAAAATTGCAAATCGTTGTGGAAAAATTATTTTCGGTTGTAGGGTTCGAATTACAGTCATTTTTGGTGAATAGACATACCCCCGAAATCTTGCGCATTTTCGAGAAAAAAATTCAGTAAGGGCGGCACTTTAAACGTTAATAACTTTTTAACGAAGCTTCCATCAACAAATTGGTATTCTTGATTTTCGTCTTATTTTGACCTCTACTATCGCTCATTAAAAGTTTTGCTAGAGGTGGCCGAACACCCTGTATAAGCATTTGTTATTTTATTTTTATGCATATGCATTCATTCAGCTATTGTCTATAGTAAACAAAGCTTTGGTTTCTTTTTGCGAAAATATCAATGGCCGTCGGTTCTTTTGACTCGGCGTTAACGCTATACTGATTTAACGATCCTTTTTACGATATTTAACTGGTTGCTGCGCTATAAGGAACCGCATAAAGGCAGGAAGTATTCGACATTTATTTCTTGCTATTCACAGCTCAAAGAATATTCATCATTCCTAGAATTACTGATCGTATAAAACTTTTATCTCATACTTCAAATGTTTTGGGCGTAACGATCTCATGTTTCTCGGTAATCGTATAAATAAAATCGATCCTGTCTCGTCTATTGTTTCACAGAATACCTTGCAATAAAAAGAATGTAACGCTAAATGTGTTTTATATCATTCTGTTGCTCTAAACAGATAAATTGTACAGCGAAAAATAAATTAAACAGCTCTTGACATCGAATACAAATTAATTCCATTAAATAGTATTGCTCGTAACGACGTTACACAAGGTGATGAAGGAGAAAATATTTGTTAAGTATAAATTTAACATCGCTTTGACAGCACCCAGACAGAAACGAAACATTCTTTTCCCTTAGCGTGGGTGGAAAATATTGTATTCCTGAATTGTCATCAATTATTTTCTTTAATTTCATTTAATCTCCGTTCCATCTCCCGATTTAAAAACGAATTTCGCCGTGAATTTGTCAAGTTTCGATCAAATCCGGCGGTAGAACGCGAACCAAAGTTCCCCCGTGGGGGTAATTAATTAGTACACGCCAGTGACAAACGAATAATTAAATCGACTCACTGCGAAATCTAACTAAAATATGTATGCTTCCCTACTTGTTGCCCGAGGTCATTGACTAATGACGGGGAATCGAGCCAAAGGCCAAATGTCGAACTCCAATGGAGATTCTGACGACAGTGATAACCGTTCAATTCATCTGTCAAACCTGTCAGTAACACGTGATACACGAATATTCCGTTCAGCGATATATTCTTAGGTCACGTATGTACAGGCTGTTCGACTACTAATGGTAATTAAAGCGAAGTAATCGTCCATAGAGAGCGATTTAACAGGCAAAAATAAGACGGAAATCAAAAAGAAAATTAGATAAACAAAATCGAACATGTATCGTTGCAGTCTTTATGGCACCTAATTTCGTCGTTATTTCCGTAACAGTTCGAGCAGCTGGCCTTCACGTGGATGGAAAGACAAAAGCTGGGCGGCTCGTATTCGTCCCACAGAGCACAGAGCGAGAAACACGTGGTGGTCTGCAGTACAACGCTGCAAGCCGACACCATCATGGATTTTCTAAATGAGTTTTACGCCCACCCTTTGCTACAGGTTAGAAATTCGACCAGAAAATTGCTCTCATTACTTTTAGCATCGCTTAATTTACATTTCTTTCCTTTCACGATTAGTCGTACTCCGATCACTATACGCGGCGAGTCCTCGAGTTACACGAATTTACGTTCTGTATAAATTTAAATAAAGGATAAATAGAATAATATATTTAACTGTTGGGGCAAATAAACGCTATAAATCAATTGCTATATTTTGTGCATGCTTCTATTCGCATATTAAATATTTCTTCGTTCTTTTCTTTCGCGAAGCAATACGTACGATTCTGCGTAACTTTAATTAATTTTTATGACGAAAATTTTAATACCAAACTAAATTAACTAAATTTCAAAATGAATTAACCGTGTGAGTGGAGGACTCACCGTGTTCGAAAAAATTCACGAACATGATTCTAGAGATTCATAACAGCTCTGTTATACTAGAAAATTTTGTCATAAATGCAACGTGACCGTCACATTCGCATACATAATCACGAAATTTTAAGTCCTTTGGGAACGTGTTCGACAGAGGCTTGATGGATGATTTTAATTACATTTAGGACTATTACGTGGTACTGTTGTCACCAATGGAACTGGATACCACAATGCGAATGATTTTACAGGTGCCCATCTGGGCACAAAGGGTAATCTACATTCAAGGATCGTGTCTGAAAGATAACGATCTCACCAGGGCCAGAATGAACGAAGCGGAAGCCTGCTTCGTTCTTGCAGCCAGAAATTATGCCGATAAAACCGCCGCTGACGAACACACGATACTTAGGTTAGTCGGATCGTGAGATCAGTTAATAAGAACTCGTATAATTAAATGTGAATAGGTTGGGAAAATAGAAGGATACCGAACTTTGTTTGACAAATATCCCGTTAAAAAGGAGAACACGAGTTAATTTATATAATTGAAAGAAATTAAAAATATAAGAAACACCAGGTGTTCAAATCAAAACAAACGTAGTGGCTTGAAAATAATTGAACTTTTTCCGTGCTAAGGGAAAAGTACGGAATCTTAGCTTGTGACGAGTATGTTTGCGATTGATGGCAGGTCATGGGCGGTGAAGGACTTTGCACCAAACGTTCCTCAGTACGTTCAAATCTTCCGTCCGGAAAATAAGCTTCACGTGAAGTTCGCGGAGCACGTGGTGTGCGAGGATGAGTTCAAATACGCCCTTTTGGCGAACAACTGCACGTGCCCTGGTGCATCGACCTTGGTCACCCTTTTGCTGCACACTTCCAGAGGACAGTGAGTTGACGGATATCCGCAAAAATTCAACAGAAATAGATTTTAACGTGAACCCGTTCGATATCGCGTAGCGTCGAACTTTATCGAAATTTATCCGAGAAAGGATACTCTTTGTTTCTCCTCAGGGAAGGTCAGCAATCGCAAGAAGAATGGCATAGGCTGTACGGTAAATGTTCTGGAAACGAGATTTATCACATTATTCTCGGGGATTCTCGGTTTTTCGGCGAGTACGAGGGCAAATCCTTCACATACGCGTCCTTCCACAGTCATCGTAAATACGGGGTGGCTCTGGTCGCTGTCAGGCCGGCGGAACTTCCGGAATTTTACGAGGACACCATCCTCTTAAATCCTGGTAACTATTATATTAATATCCTCTCACTGTCGCAGTATTTTCAACTTCTTAAAAGCTACGGAACGATGCCATATGGCTCGTCGAAGGTTCATTCTCCGCCCTATTTTAAGTACATTTTTAAATCTTTTACGTTGCAACTTTTTTTATAGTCTTAGGGTAGAAAATAATCCTTCGCGTTTACTCGTGAAACGGAATTAATGTAAGAAGCTTGTAGGAGGATCGTAAAATGCCATCTGCTGAGAGGCTCGTAATAATTGAAATCCAAACGATGTGTTTAATGTTTCGATTAGCTAGTTCTATAAAATTGTAAAAATAATGTTTTAATGGTACCTCGACGAATCTGTTAATTATGTTTCGTTCCACCTTACTAAACAACTTAGCTTTTTTTTTCAATTCTCGACCAGAATATACTTTCTACGGCTGTTCAAAAATTTTGTATAACTTGATCGCGTTGGTTCGTGACCCTCGTTCTTCGGCGATCCAGGTCCGCGTCACATAATGAAGAAAACCGACACCTGCTATTACATGAGCATCACGAAGGAGGAGAACTCCGCGTTCGTGGTGGCGAATAATCAGAGCGTGACGGGTACGGAGGGCACGCAGGTGATCGTCGAGACGAAAACCGACGGGACGGGAAACAGCGGGACGACAGGGAACACGACCGCCAACAACAGCACGGCGATGAATTCTGGAACAAGCGCGGGAATGACGACGACCACGACGACGATATCCACCAGCTGCACGATCGCCGGCGGCGATGGGAACGGTACAGCAAACAAACCCGGTGCCAACGAGCACCGTCGCTATTCCAACAGTTGTAACAATGCGCTGAACGAAACAGCTTGCTGCAGACAGGAGACGACCTGTACGGGGCCCCGTGGACAGAACGTGCACGGTACACAGGCACACAGGGCCCCACAGGTTATTTTGCAGGTCCTCCCTAGCACGCCCACACCACTCGAACACCACAACATAATCGCATCCGATGTCCACCGTGAGTGTCGCATGCGCTTGCCTTCTATTCTTTCTTCTTCCGTTCTCCTTATCTTTTTCACCATTTATTACTCGTCTCTGTGTACATTATTTTTTTAATCGTACACACCACGACAATCAGATACCACGCTACTTCAACATGATTTACAGAAAATATATTGGCATATCAAACAGACATTGCATTTACTATTTGGAAGGAGCAATCGTTCGATTGGTAATTTCAATTAAATTTGAAAAACATGGAATAAATATAATTTTGTGATATGTGTGTATAGAAATTATTATGCTCCTGTTAACTATTGCTCTGATTTTTGCACTGTTGATTTATTTGTAATTTCTGTTTCTGCAATTTTCTTCGATTAGAATTATTTCCGAATATTCTGGAGTTTTCTAATATTAAGAGAAACATAGATATACTTCACTTTCTGTCATCTACGGTAAATTGTCATTTTGTCGAACTGATTTTCAGCCAAGGTCAAAGTATTCCATTTATTTTACGAATTGTGTAAAACGTTGGCGTACGCTATCTTTTTGTCGCGGATTGTACGGTGGTGGCTACGATTTGCTCTTCCTTTTTATTCGCGTGGATTTGTGGAGAATAATACGGGGATCTCGGAGAGGCTGATTTGCGTGCTATGGTGATGGTAATTCGTCTGTGTATATTTTTGGGCGTACTTTGTGGCAAATGCTTCTTTGCTTGAGTGGATGAACGTCTGAACCGTAGGGCTCTTAACGTTATTGGAATATACTAACTATTTTTTTGTGTTATAAAATATACAGTGTTTTCATCGTAACGGTATCTACAATTGTTTAACAACTTACAGTTTCGACAAAATTGTAGACGAAATTAACTAGTTTCTGACTGCCAACAAGTTACAGTGGTAAACACATTTGAACGAATCGAATATTACGTATATTTTCAAAGCAATCTATTTTAACCAGATATTTAACAAATACCATTTATTAATTATTGTCTTAAAAATCCTGTGACTCATTTGCTCTTGTATTTTCTAAATTGTTCACTTGAATATGTAACAATTTTAAATACGAAGTTACTTTTCTGTTTATTTATATATACTATTGCATTATCTATTTTCTATATGACATGTTTCAGCATGGCTGCTTGTTCCAGCATACGGAATGCTTTATTGCATAGTGGTTGATATAAGTGCTTATTGTTAAAAAAAATACACATACATGCTTGGTCTTATCTGAATCGATCCACTGATTGTAAATACTTCGATACATTTTGCGTAGCCCATTTATTATAGAAAGTTACGAGAGGTCTTGATATATAAAATATTTATTCTTACTATTAATAAATGGGTTGAAGCAACATACACAAGGAAGAAATATTTCGTAAAAGTATGAGAGGAAAACACTTGAAACTTGCAATGTAAATACACATATACATGAAACAAAAATAAGGAGAATTGCTATTGCCTCAAATTGCTGGTTTGAAGCTTGAAACGTTTCATTGCTAGTTGTAGATCGTAGAATAATCATTGAATAGAATATTTCATAATAAAATAATATTCGCTGATGTTGAAATTTCTTAATTCGCTTTATAGTTTCAAGTAGTACCATTATTTTTATTGTACCATATCGATAAAAAATACTGAATAAAGTAATTAAAATTGCAACGTAAGCAGAAAGTTAGAAGAAAAATTTCAATTTATTACTATTATTATTATATCTGATAAAAGATATAATTTATTGTGTGCAGTAATTCCTTAGGCGATATTCGCCCAAAAGAAATTAAATAATTGTTAAAACAAATTTAAATTTTACGATTCACTTTTAAAAGGCTTAAATGAAATCGTGTATTAGGTATGAGAGTTGAGAAGACAAAAAAATAAATAGAGTATTATAGACGAAAATATTTAAAAACAGTCGATGATGGAATTTAATTTCCTTCCAAAATGCCTAATAAATTATATCTTTGATACCGTATTATAAATTTGATGTTTCGATATTTGGATAACACCTTCTTTGGTAGGTTATCCGCAACTGATGTTAAATTTCACAGCAACGTATCTCGATCCCGGTGGATTCGGAGATTCGCGACAATGTTTGAAAGACGGAGGATCCACGCCACAGACGCCGATCACCGGGAATCATTTGGACGTTCCGCGATCTCTAGATCCAAATCCCAATCTACTCAGTCCCGAGATTCTCACGCAAAGAAGAGGTAATTCATTGTTGAGTTACATTTTTCGCGTAGTCAATCAATTATAATATCAGTATAACAATATACATATGCAAGGTGCTTAAAAAGTATACATAACTCTGTCGAATTTAAAAATAAATTTATTTTACACGAAACTAAAGTTGTAATGGAAGAAAAATGAATTATATTTTTCGAGATTTGAAGAGAGTATCTCTAGCGTGGTTCGTATTTTAATCGATTTTCAGACGAATTCAACGATTCCTACGAACAGGACTCCCGAGTGCAAACATTGATATTTGACAATTAAATAACATTTGTACTAAACTTTTCAATGAAACCATTTCAGGTAGCAGGAGACCAAGCATCCTGCCTGTGCCAGACATGCTGACGAGCTCGACCTTGCATCTTCCTGGCCAAGAGTCCTTGGATCACGAAGGCGACGAGTCCGAGGACGAAATGGACGACGACGTTCCATGGAGATCGCCCAGCGAAAAGATCGCGTGAGTATTTCTCGAACAGGATTTCATCGTCACTTTTCATACCATCATGTTACGTCCAAGGTCGCAAGGATTCAAGGTAGACGATCGCCCAGTATGTGTGATATTGTCGTGAACGTAAAGGAACACGTTGTCGATCTTAGACGAATATACGTTTATAGACGTACTTATTAGATAGACGAAAAATCTCGTTTCCTCTATTTAACCAATTTTTTCTTAATTATATATATATATATATAATAATCTGAGCACGATCGTGGAATCCTTAAGAGTGACACGATCTTTCACTGTCTCGTGCACTTGCATGGCACGATCTCTTGTGCATCGGACGTATTTGTGTATTCTATTTATTCGTATATCTCTATATATATATTTATATCTGATGAATGTATCTCCTTTATCACTCGTTCTTATTCTGAATATATATTATCGGTATTAGTCTTAGGGAGAGAATACTGGCTCTTCGAAACACTCGATGTTCGAAATCTGTTCACGTTAGCCTCTTGAGGGACGAATTATGTCGTTTTGACTCGTATCTATTAATCTTTTCTGCGTAAAAATATAAATACTCGTTTACAAGTTGAGTAATTACTTTAATATAATTATTAGTTCGAAGATAACCAGTATTTTCTTGGAAATCTTTAAATATTGCACTGTAAGATCGTACACGGTTGATCGTACGTTCGACAGGAGAGTTCCATTCGCGTTAAAGAGCAGTCCGAAATCTGTACGATCTTACAAACCATCCATCACACGAAATAAAGTTCGACAGCCGTGCTGCAGGGAATTTTGCACCATGCTCGTCCTGTTTCTGCACTCTTTTCTTAGATGTTACTTCCTCCGGATCGAATCTACTCGACGCGACTCGATCGTCCTACTTCTTTGTTACTTTCCAATATTTTTAGACGTTCGCCATTATATTTTTTTTAAACGTTCGAACAAATCAAATTTACCATCGCCGAACCGTAACCGATAATTACATTTACTTTCACTACGTTCTTCGATTTGATTTTACTTTTCTTTACGTCGCGAGATTTAAATGTGGCGAAGAGTATCCGGACAATTCTAATTTCGGTACGCGAGTAACGTCGAGTGGTTGAAAAGTTCGAACGTCACGGTGACAAGAGACAGACAGGACGAAAAAGGTAAAAGATTTTTAACGAAAGGTCGGTGTCACGCTCGTCCGTCATTCACCATCCAAATACAATTAAACGCAAGTTTACGTTGATGGCCGATCTGTCCTGTCTGAATGTCTCTCGATGCCCGTACCACTAATCGGCCTCGATGGTATTGAATCGCTGCTCGATGCTGTCCTGCCTGACACCCTATATGTCCTCGTGGATGTTTTCGATGTCTTCCTTCCTGCATCGTCTTTATGCACTGCCGTCTTGACGCACGACCTTTGCCCAGCAGTTTCAAAGGGTGAGTTTACGTTTTTACGCTTTCATATAAACTATTCTTCCGGCTCGCTTCTCGCGAGGGAACGCTCAGAACTTCGCGGTACGTTGCTTGGACGAATTTTACTTGGGAATCTGATCATCAAACAAATCTAAAATCCAAAACTTTCGATAGAATTCCCGATACAAATCTATTAACCGGTATTTTCTAACCCCGAGCTCGGTGATCGAGTCACCAGAAATTTTTATTAATTAACCCCTTCCCGTACTTTAACGAGTCTGACTCGCGATGAAGATTTTCGGACAGCAAATCACGATCGTGATTGAGTCTCGGTTCCTATCAGTACGCCACAAGAGTTGGCCACGATTCTTATAATCTCTGTTACAAAGCGGCTTAGCATCAATCCGGTCTGTTTGGACGAATTTCGTCGAGCTAAATGCCACGGGACGGGGTTAATTTCGTCGGTTCGACTTTCGAATATTCCGAGTGTTCCCTCTGCAGTTTTCTATCCAACGAACGAGCCTTGAACTATTCACCGACGCGAAAGGGTTGCCCGAGTAATTTTCGTCCGCCGGAAAGTTGATTAGCGAAACATTTTCTATAATTCAGACACTCGGGCTGGCTGCGCAGTTCCGAAACACATTAAGAAGCGTGGGAGGAAGTTGGCGAAGCGTGGGAGGTCGAGTAGATCCGTAGCTTTAGAATTCCCGCGAACTGTTCGAAGCAGAATTTAATCGACTGCGTCGTACGCCGAAGTTCACTGTTTAATTCTGCTCGCTGAATCGCTCGCAACGTACCCAACTTCGGAATTGATGTCGCGTATGTCGATGCGGGACGCTGGATGAGACGCGAACGAAGTTGTGAAAACGCACCTAATGCGGCCACGGTGAACTTTCCGCCCTGGTGAATTGATAAATCGACCTCAAAGGACTTACACGATGGCGAACTAAACGTACCGATTGTTTCGGTTTTCGCTCGATTCGCGACACCAACGATTTTGGCGCATTAAACAGCGAATATTTCTCTTCTTTCAGTACCGTGTTCGTCAAAGTTTCATGTATCGAGTGCATTACCTTGTAACACACGAGATGTCCACGGTAACTTATGGCGTATTCGATACGAACTCTGTCACTTAATATTGTCAGACATCATCATCGTGCATGGAATTCTCATTGGGCCGAACGATACCAACAAGAACGTTTCTCGTTTGTAACGATTTGTATTTTTAATTTACAAGGGGTTGAAACAAAGGATCGCAAGTTTTGTTGTTAGTAGCTATGGGCGGGTTGGGACTTTCAAAGCTCGTTGATCGAAAAAAAGATCCTAATAAACGTAGATTTCGAAGGTGATATATGCTAGGTTACCTGTATATTACATACATATATATTCAATGAACAGAAAGAAGAAGCATAAAATGAGTATTATTACTGTTGTTCAATAGTTATTTCCACTCATATAATTCCTCATATTCATCGAAGAATTACATTCTACATGACTCCTTTCGACTCGCATTGCATTCGTACAAACCTCGAAACTATCACAACCGATATACCTGATCGAGAAATTTATGTCCTCGTAAAGTTACGAATGTATTAGTTTATGTTTATGTCCTGTGCACAATACGGCCAGATACGTGCAAATGTATATGATGGAACCTAAGAGATCGCATGTCAATCGAATAGCTCCCTTCCATTTGTTTTCGATACGAAACAATTTTCGTTTATATATAAATAGAAATATTATTTATTTTTATACCTATAGTACACGTTCAAGTAAATGAAAAGTGTTTCGCGGTTTAATCGATCGGTGGAAAACAGCAGACTTGAGGGAAATGTACAAAAGTCTAACGTTTTCGTTGTGCATGTACCTAGATGTTAGAACTAACTTTGTTTTATATCTTTCTATATTTCCTCTTTTCTTTTACCGTTTCTAGAGAATTCAATCTTTATAATAAACGCACTCACGTATCGGTTTTGATTAAATCCTGATCACCAGCATTTTCACAGTCGCGTTTTAATTCTCAAATGCATCCACGATACCTAAGATAATATATGCTGTCATGAAAAATGTTTGAAAAAATTTTACTTCAGAGCATGTTACAGAAGAACACATTTTCGTCATTCCGCACATCTGCTCGTGCTTAACACCCTGAGTGTGAATAGCACAATGTACTATATTGTTGTACATAGACAAAGCTGTACATTATTCGCTACGTTGAACATTACGATCGATGAGCGAGAATTTTTTCTTGTGTAATCGATTATTGATTATACAAAGACACCAAAGATATTTGACAATTTTGCTAAAAAATTCCAGTATTATTCAGTACAGTAATGATAAAAAAATACCTTGTCAAAAAATCTAAAACGATGTTTACAATACTGAACAAAAATCGGGATAAACTACTTCAATTACGTTCGGTCTATGTAATGTAACCCTACGAAAATGCGATTATATGAAACGTGCAACGATTTAATCGAAATTGTTGCAGGATCGTCAAGGGATTTCCACCTGTTTCACCTTTCATAGGCGTTTCTCCAACGTTATGTTATCTACTTAAAGAAAAGAAACCTCTGTGTTGCCTTCAATTGGCACAGGCACGTATTATACATTTATCGTGATTCTCTGATAATTAAAAATCGATTAAAAATCTATTATTTTCGGTTACTGTGCCAGGTTTGCCAGCACTGTACCTATAGAAACGCGAAGGAGTACAATTGGCAAAACAAGACTATCATTCTGGCTGCCGACTACGCCAGCAACGGAATCTACAACTTTATAATTCCCTTAAGGGCACACTTTAGGTACAAGTTTGAGATAAAGAGTGTAATAAAATGTATAAGTCATGGAAATATTTCTTACGAGCTGAGACAGGCGTGATTATTTTAACGTTCGTTAAAAATCTCCGTCAGATCAAAAACATCGCTGAATCCAATCATTCTCCTGCTGGAACGGAAACCGGAAATTGCGTTCCTTGACGCGGTGTCATACTTTCCTTTGGTGTACTGGATGCAGGGATCCATCGACTGTTTGGACGATCTCCTTCGCGCTGGTATCACTCTGGCGGAAAATGTCGTGGTCGTAAACAAGGAACTCAGCAATTCCGCGGAGGAAGACACTCTGGCTGACTGTAACACTATCGTAGCAGTGCAAACTATGTTCAAGTGAGTGTGTTTGCTTGTCAGATTGTCTGTAAATTGATAGTAATAGAGAAAGTGCGCCAAAATTGGATCTTCACTTCGTTAAAGGAAAAATCATTTCCTTACCTAAAAACCAGCCATGTCATACGTAAAAAAGATATCGTTGAGTTTAAAAATATAATTGTTTCGAAGAAACGAAATCTATTTGAATTTTCACAGATTCTTTCCGAGTATAAAGAGCATAACGGAGCTCTCGCAGTCGAGCAACATGCGTTTCATGCAGTTCAGGGCGCACGACAAGTATGCTCTTCACCTCAGCAAAATGGAAAAGGTATTTCACAACTTTCTAACTTGATATAATATTTCTTCAATCTATTTTGAGCTAAAAATGAAGCTTGCAATTACCATTTACATTTTACTTAAATTGGAAAGAGGATGACGATTAACGTGTAATTAAATGTGCTACATTTGCAACGATATTTCGTATTGAAATGTTATATCGTAATTTATGTGTGTTTAATTCCTTCTATGGAAATGTATAAAGTGGAAGAGATACTGTTAATTGAGTAGTTTCGTAGATTTTGCGATAACACTTAAAGTTAGTTGCTCTCAACTCCTTCACGCCATCTCGAAGCACTGTTTACCAAGTTTATAAGTACTCACACTTGACCTTTATGTACTTCGTAACTCTGAAAGTATAAAGGAAATTTTATTATAGCAGCGATGCCAGATAGCTTTCAGAACGTTCGTCTTCATGGGAAAGCTAATCATCATTGAAATAAATGATTTATTTCTCGAGTTTCTTTTAAAATTCTTATTTATTCGAAAGAAAAGAAAGAAGAACGATGCAAACCTGCTACGAATTTTTACAATCGATACTGTAAAATTTTAATAATTTAATAATATTACAGTGAATTTATCTTTGCATTCATAATTACTTGAAAATGATCTCTCGTGAAAGTATGAAATCTATTTTTCTAATAGTATTGAGAGACGAAGGAAGTTGCAAGAACATTTTTAGCGACACGTAGAAATTAACAGAAATTAGATAAGTACAAAAAAATAATCGAACGTTGTGATTGCTACGACAGAGAGAAAAGGAAAGAGGCTCCCATATATCGTACATGTTTCGATTACCTTTCGCCGCTGGCAGTGTCTTCAGTGCCTCCATGTTGGACACTCTTCTCTATCAAGCATTCGTAAAGGACTACATGATAACATTCGTGAGATTGTTGCTGGGCGTCGATCAAGCTCCGGGGTCTGGTTTTCTAACATCGGTAAAGAATCAACTTGATAAAAAATTTATTTAACAAAATAGAAAATTACGCAAAAATATAATTATCATCCATAGAACAATGGTGGCCAAATTGCAGATGTACCAGATCTTTACAAAATCCACAAACTCACTCCGAGTAACGAGGGAAAAATGTTTCTATGTATTGAAACACAAAACGATTCGTTTATAATGAACCTATTTTCTAGAGAAGATGTCTTTTTTAAATATTTTTAAGAGTTACTACAAACCTTCTATTATTAAACAATGAATTATTGCAAATAAAAGGAGTTAATTTATAGAAATCTATTTTCTGGAGAAGATATTTTTGTAACCTAGTATTAATATTAGTAATATTCAATACAGAGTATATCCTTTCAATAGAAGATGTGAATCGAGAGTATTTAGGCTTGGTCACCAGTGCTGTGGAGTATACAAACTAATTGGAACGAATCTCAATCGTCGACGATGATTAATAACAATTTGATTGCAGATGAAAATAACGAAAGACGACATGTGGATCAGAACCTACGGCAGACTGTACCAGAAACTCTGCTCGACGACGTGTGAGATCCCCATCGGTATTTACAGAACGCAGGACACCACCGTGTCGGACACGTCTCACGTGAGTAGACGATCGTTTCGATCGAAAGTTCGGAGGGCGACCGAGCGAATTGGCTCGTGTACTATCGTTATAAGGGCAGGAAACAACTTTGAATGGCGGCTGTGAGTAGCGCATGGTTGTAAATCCCTCTCTATCTTTTGTTCTGTATTTTTCCTCGGCGTTATTTCCGATGCAACGTTTTTAGAGTCATCCCTCTCGATGAGAATTAAAAATGCGTACGGCTCTCGCATCTTGTTGAAACGATACTCGTAGCACGTCCTCCGATCCTGAACATAGACGTCTTGAAACCTGCATCGTGCTAGACATTATATTAGTGTCAATCAGAGTGCTTCTTCCGTCGGCAAAGCGTTGCCATTAACATCAATTGAACGGTGATTAATCTTAATCTGCTTCTGGCAGCGAACAGTTCTCGCGCTAAATGGTTCGCGACACGTACAAAGTGGGCATCGTTTAATTTAAATCTGAATACAGTCTACAGTGCCTAATACAGTTTATTCCTTGATCGTTAGACCCAAACATTTTCCGAAACCTAGAATTTGTATACCTTTGCAGGGTATGCCACAACGAGCTTTCGAAAAGCAAAGAAGAAAACATATTTCGTGATTTTTCCCCCAGTAACGTCGAAATCGATGTCTGCGTATTCGTTGCGTTCCCTTCTTAAATTTATTTACAATAACGATCGTTTTGTACGCTAGTCCCTGCCCGCTACGGAGGAGGAAGCTTAACGAACAGTAAAACGATAACCACCGTGTCGTGTTTGATGCGTGAAAAATCGCGACAACGCCGGGCTGTCCTTAGTAAGCATAGAATTGCTTGTCGTTTTGACAGGGCGACTCAGACGCGGAGAGCGACGCCGGCGTCGGCGTGACGTACAAGGTGCGTCATTCGGCGGCAGCATCGTGCCTTGCAAATTGCGCCACCCGCGACAAGGGTGCCTCAGCCGTGAGTACAGAAGTTCAACGTTGTCTGGTCGCCGTTTTTCTGATCGTTTTCCATATACACTGTTTAACGTTCTCTGTCTTGTAACTCTCTTTGTGGCGTCGCCTCTCTGTACCTATTGTCACTCACTTCCTCTTTACTCTGTCGCTGTTGTTCTTTCACATTTTTTTGTTCCTCTGTCTTGTCGGCATCTTAACGCTCTCGTCACTACCGCTATACACCCGCTGCGCATGCCCAGTGTACCACCCAGTGGCTTCCGGCCTGAACGCTCAGGATTCTCTCTTGCTCGTCCTCATTGTCTAAATTGCTCTTCTTGGCGATCAAGAGGCCCTACACTCGAATTCTATGAGCACAATACACACACGATGCTGCACAAATGATGCTTCGTAAAAACGATAGGCAATCAACGAGAAGTTATTCTTTTAGAACTTCTTACCGTATTCGATGATTCGTACCTTGTACAGATTTTTGAGTACATGGTTTGTCTGTTTCTATTTGTGCCTGTATATTGCTAATTAACTACCGATAGTTCCATACGTATTCGTGCACTGTGATGGCGGTTCACTATAAATGAAAAGACACTTGTTATCTTACGGAAAATTTTTCGGCGAAAATAAAAAATTTCAAATTATTCCGAAAAAATTATTTTTGGCTGCCAGAGTCAATTACAATCATTTTTGGTGAATAGATATACCCCCGAAATCTTGACCATTTTCGAGAAAAAAATTCATTACCGAAAATTTCATGTCAACCCATACATTGATACGTTTCCCTGAAATTTCATGCGTATGTTTAAAACATCATAACTTCTGAACGGATTGGACGATTTCAATGTTTGAAAATGCAAACGACGCGTATTTTGATGAAGAATATGTAGAAATTCTAATAATGTGGGGAAAGTTGTTCCTTGACTCCGTAAAATGAGAAAAACCACATAAAAGTGGTCCAATTTTCAAACGTTCATAACTCCTACAATAGTCAATCGATTTCGTTGAAATTTAGTTTGGAAGTAGAGCTCATGGATACCTACAAAAAAGTACTAAACAACATTCTCGTACAGCATAACACGAATTTATTAAAAATCAAGAAAGAATCTTTAAGAAAAATCGATGTGGGTTAGGTGCCTAAATATTTCGACGAAAAAAAAAAATTCCAATCGTTCTGGGAAAATGATTTTCGGTTACAGAGGACAATTACAATCATTTTTGGCGAATATAGATACCCCTGAAATCCTACGTACTGTCGAGAAAAAAAATTCTTTCTATTCTTGATTCTTAATTTTCGTCTTATTTTGGTCTCTAAAATCTCTTATTGGATGTTTATAGTTTCCCTTTAGCTAATTACATGAAATGTCGGTAGATTTAGTGTGTTTTCAACGGTGTTTTCAATTTTATTTTTAATTGAAACCCTTAAGTATCCCAATAGTCTGAAAAAATGGACTTGTACCAGTTCAAAAAACTCAATCCATAAGAAACAAGCTTCTTTTTATTCGTAGCGAATAACCATTACAGTGTACGAATACGAGTGGCGGTAACTCTATATAAAATTTCCTTTAACTAACAAGAAACGAATGATTGCTACTACGAGTCTACTATACGTTTCAACCATTCCAACATCTTTCGATCTCCTCGATCCAACAAAACGGTTTGCACCAACGAAATTGCTCAAGACATTAACGAGTATTGTCTAGAATTTATCGATCGCGTATCCGTCTGCAAAGACGCGTCAACGCCACGTTTAACCGCGCGTTCGAGAAGCAAAATTCCCCTCGATTCGCCATTAAAAACCGATTTCTCTGCACAGTACTCCGTGAGCCTCGGCGACGAAGCCCGCGACAATCACGCCCAGCAGATCGAGAGGGCCGAGATCGCGAACCTGGTTCGTTCGCGGATAGAATCCCTGAACCTGCCGGTGGCCGATTACGACGACGTCTCGGAGAAACGTAACAGCCTCTCCTACGTGATCATCAATCCCAGTTGCGACCTGAAGCTGGAGGAGGGCGACATCGTGTACCTGGTGCGACCCAGTCCGTTCTCCGCTCAGAAAACGTTCGAGCGTCACAACTCGCGTCGCAAGAGCAACATCAGCTTCTGTTCGGCGCAGCTGGTGTCGCAGATGAGCGCGGCGGTGGCGTCGGCGGGACTTCCTGGCGCCGGGGCAGGAAGTCGTCGAGGATCCGGGATCGGTTTGCCCAGGGCGCCGCCGTTGGGCACCACAAAATCGAACTCGTTGTCGTTGCCGGACAGTCCCACGGTGGCCGGCACGCTGCGAGGACGCTCGAACTCGCTGAGAGTGGTCGACGACATTCTGCTGAGACGCAGCAACTCGTTGAGGCAGGGTCTGACGATGAGCAGGAGGAAAAGCAGCCTGGAGGACATCGGTCTGGGCGCGCTGTCGCATCCCTCGAACCACAATCCGATCAAGATCGCGCTGAACGGATCGATCGGTCTGGAGGTGACGCCGCCGGAGGAGTGCTCGCAGGTCGTAGGCGCCAGCAACACAGGTATCCTGGACGTGGGACTGCCCTCCATGCCGGAGCTAACCGCCGCCCTGGGCTCAAACCTGGGCACAGGCCTGGGCGGCTCGCTCGGTGGCCTCTACGACCCACCGAGCCTCCAATATCCCATGGGATCGCCCTCCCAGTCGCCCCAGATCCCCAGCAGCACGCAGGATCCTCAGCACATACAAGGGACGATCGTATGATATAACCTTATGTGGGGACGCAGGCTCTCCGGCGTGGTACGAAACAAATGGCTGTAAAGCGTTCCCACGTTCCCACGTTCCCACGTTCACGCGTCGAGATCACTCGGCTACCTGACTAACGACGAATTCGGTGGGACTGAACGGTGGCGACGATCACGGATCGCGAGACGGCCGGAGAGCAAGGTGTTTCAGTGACCCGGGACCGATCAGCGACCCCGGCGAACGCCTAGGCGAATTTTTTTACTCCGTTCCTTGCGTAGTTTCAGTTAGCCACGCTATGACGGTATTCATTCATGCCAGTGGTTCTTAACCGTCGCGCCGCGACGCGTTTTTACTTTTTATAGAATTTAAATTTGTACGAATCACGCTCGCGCGGTGATCGGTGGGTCGTTTTGGACCCAGATAATCAGATTTTTCGTTCATTCTTTCCCCCTATTTTTTTAAATATTGGTGTCACTGGTATTCATTATGCATTCTGCGGCTAAAGAGGATCTAATAAAATATGTATTCTTTTAATAAAAGTAAAAATTATCAGGATCATTGGGTCTTCTAACAGGTGGGTGAAATATTCTATTTTGTATTATTATAGATTAGGTGTCTAAATATATGACTATTGCAGAGTGTAAGATATGGGTCTAAAAGGACCCAACGATCGACGTCCGGATAACTATTCTAACGCTATTAGAATAGCCTTTAACGAGTCAATTCTATGTTTCGACATTTTCTTGTAGAAACATGTCACCTTAGATTTGAAATTCATATATTACAATAATATAATCTAATGAAATTACCGGTCAACCTAAGAAACTAAGTTTTTAAAAGAAGCATAAAAAGACGACAAAATATTTTTGTTGATAGACAATTTATTTCAACAGATTTTTTATAAAAAGATCAGCCAACTTGCTACGACATTAAATATATTAAATAACGCAAATATAACAAATTTAGGAGGAATAAAATTAATACTAATGTAAACATAGTAAATACATCCCCAATTTAAAAATCAAACGCGTAGAAATATTAAATTGGCGCGTTAAAGGCTGAAAATATTTATAGTTTACGTGAACCAAGCATCTTATTATTACATTGCCATAATTATTCATGAACCCATGACCTGTATCAGGTTTTCCTCTCCGAGTTACGCCGTTAGACCTAGAAATATTATTAGAAATAAATTCTTTTCCCAACTGCGTCGCGAGCTCGAGAAAGTTAAGAACCACTGATTTATGCGAACTCGGGGACCTAAACGCGGCGTCGTTGAGTCGCGACTGTGATACGCCAGAACGTTGGATTTATTATATTTGTGCGTGTCAACAGGGCTGGGCAATTTGGTAATCGTAGCAAATAATTATTCAAACCGAACGCGAACTTGATTTGATTTCTCTGACAGGTTTCCTTTAGCGTCTTTTGCAGAGAGACGAGTATTATTGTAAAGACATATCCACGATGTACAATAATTACAGAATCGATCTGTACTTTTTAATGTTCTAAATATCTCCAAGCAACAGGATATCGAAAAATATTAAAAGAAGTAATTGAACGAGTATTCTGATCAACGTAATAACAGGAAAATATTTCACCTACCGAATGAGAAAAAATTAATATTGAATAATTATTTGGTCAAAGGTTTTGTAAAGGTTTAAATAATGCCCAGTTCTGACGACGTACGGTTGTTTCATCGAAGCTACGATACTATTTTAGTAATAATTCTCTCTTCGTAGATAGTACAAACACACTTTCCGAGCAACCTGATTTCGATTTATTAATCGAGTTTCATTTAAAACTATCCATTAAAGTCCCTCGCGGTGTACGTAGCGGGCTACGTTCTTAAAACGTTTTGCTCTCTAGTCGGCTCTTGCGTCTCGATCTCCGTACATCCGATCAAATTATTCGTAGCGATCCAGACGATTGCTCGGACGGGCTAGATCACAACACACGAGAATTCATGCCAAAGGTCCAGTAACGCCGTTGATAAAATCGAGACGATTAAAATAAATAGTATAAAGAAACGAAATCGGTGACGATGGACAAGAGTTTCTAGGTTTCTTCGATGCTTTTGTATAATTTAATACATTAGAATTTCAACAGAGCGTCAACTAAAAATTAAACAAATTAAAGTTGATTTAATCAGAATTCAAATCTACTTTTTCAAAAGCAAAGTCTGATAGAAATAAAAGTCACTTTAAACTTACGATTTAATTTCGAAGGTTGTATCACGAATAACGGATAACCACTATGTATTTCTTTTTATTTTCCAAGCAGAGCGGACAAATTAATTTTTATTCGACTCCAGTCGAGCACAACAACATTACGTTTAATTCTTTAATTATAAAATATCGCACTAAGATTCTTGTCCCTCGTCAAATGTCATATTTTCTCGAGATAGCTAACGAAAGTAGGTGAGAAAGGAGAAACGTTTCCCTAGTGCAAGCCCCGATTCCTACGTAGGGTCACGTTCCGCGGACGAACGTGAAATAATTTTATACTAGAACAAATTTATGACGAGAGTATGTTATATATATGATTATAAATATATAAAATATGTGACCATTTAAATCATATCACACGAGAAAGAATGTCACCAACCGAAGTCGAAATCATTATATCGTACGTGTGTAGGACGACAAGGACTTTAGACAAGTATTAGGAATATCGAGTTCCAGATTTCAGGACTAACTAGGAACAGAATTTATTCCAACGCGGATAAGTGAATTCCCCGCGATCTGTCGCGGTCCGGAGAACTCTCTGTTCGTTGTTTACGAGGCGTGAAAGATAATCGATTATATATCGAAGAATTTAGTGCGGCACGATCGAAGGAAGGTTACTAAACGAACACTATTTTCTTCTCTTCTATTAGTTTGAAACGCAGTCTTATCGGTACGTTTTATCAGAGTTTTCGGGTACACAGTTTATTAAGATGAATCATTTATTCTTAGCGAGGAAAGAGCAAAAAGTTTCGACAATCCGTTCAATCAGTTAGTCGGACGTAGGCGTCGTTAGCGACGACTTTAAAAGATATATCTATTTCTTGACTCGGCGCTTCGAGCCAAACGCAATCGTTTCTCGACCAATTTACACGTTTTCCCCGACCAAATGTCGTCTTATCGAGTACCTGCTTTCATGCTACCTTCCGCTACTCCCCACAGGTTTTGGCAATTAAATTACCAACGATCGGATTTGCTTCACTGTCTAGTTGTGGCCGATAAATTGCTGTTTTTGCAAAAATTTCGTCGAACGTGAGGAACAATCTTTCGAGTTCAAAGCGTTTGTAATCCACTGCTATCCATTTGCGCAATTCTCGACTGATCTTCTGCCTTTTTCAATTTTTGAAAACAGAAAGCTTCTTTGCATCTGAAAATTATTTATGTACGAGAAATAACTTAAGGTCAATGAATATAATGTGCTTGCAAGACCTATACTCATTGTCGTGGTTTAAAAATACTAGCAAAGATGAAATTAAAACAATCGTTGGAATAATTTTTAAATGTTATTATATGTTTAGTGTGTTCTATACACCGAAAAGAAATAAAATTTCTGTGGAACACTTTTTTCAAAAATATATTATACAGGGTGTTCGGCCAGCCCTGGGAAAAATTTTAATGGGAGATTCTAGAGGCCAAAACAAGACGAAAATCAAGAATACCAATTTGTTGATAGAGGCTTTGTTAAAAAGTTATTAACGTCTAAAGTTCCGCTGGTACTGAATTTTTTTCTCGAAAATGCGCAAGAATTTGGGGATATGCCTATTCACCAAAAATTATTGTAATTGACCCCTGCAACCGAAAATAATTTTTATAACTGTATATTCTTCTTGAATAAATAATTGTCTGTTAACATTAAATGAATATGTATTGTCTAAATCAGGTTCATAAAAATAATTTCTTGCTTGTTGTTTTTGAATAAAGTTCAAGCGATCGGTCTATCTAATAACGAGCCAGTGCTTTAAACAATCAGCGCAAACGGAACTAACATGGATTGTTGCAATTGCACGAACCTAAGTGGCGTAATCGAATATACTAGGACTCTTCCAAAGGAAAACAAACCCTACGTAAATATCGTTAATTTCTAGAGAAAAAAGTAATCGACAGAATTTTTCAAATCAAACGTGTTCAGTTTTAAAAAATCAACGCACCTTTACCTACGCCGCTAGAACTCGATAAAGTTTTCATTACTGTGCATAGTGAAGCGAATCGATCGGTCTCCTTCAGTCTCTATAATTTACATACTCCTTATTCTATTTAGTCTAAATACAAATAATGTTTCGTAGCAGCTAGTCGTTGATTCCGACGACGTTCAGCGAGCATTTACACTCTCTATAATATTTCTCTGGCCCGTATTCTGCCTCTTTAACTTTCTCTCCTTCATTAACTCTCTGTCTTTCTTACCTTGATTAGAGTAACGAAACCCGTCCCGACCACGAACGTCTATTATCTTCGTTCACGCTGATGACCCGTGAGTTTTGTACATATTCGACAGGCAATCGAGGTATTTTTCAGAGGAAACGATGATTTTCTATCTCCCAAACCGGAACAGGTGGTCCGTTTAATCCGCGTCGAATACCTTCGCGATCTCTCGTACCAAAGTCAATTTGTTCCGAGAAATCGAGGCGACAGGAAAGTACGATTAAGACAGGAAATTCGATCGAACTGATACTGACCGTAACGTTTCATAACCCTCTATAATCTGACGCAGGTGTGTCAAACTCGATTACGTAGAGCTGCTTGACCCTTTATCCGCGCCATTTTAACGCTGAAAATGTCCCCCCGGTCAGAGATGGGTAAAATTATTCGTTATTTAATGCAAAATGATCATAAAATAACATAAAATAATCGCATAGTTATATTTCCATCGAGCAACGATCCAAAGGAAGAATTTAATTGTTAAATGGAATGAACGTTACGAATAAATATTTCTGTACAATGGTTGCAATTCGTTATCGTTCGAATAAAATTCTGTCCATCTCTGACCTCGGTATAGGAATATTTTGTTATAGAGAATGTTTTTACATTACCTTCATTTAGTGATTTTAGCAAATAATTACTTGCAAATATCAAGTAAATTATTATTATTATTTTACGATGAATTATGAAACACCGGCATAGAAAACATTCCAAATTGTTCGACTCCTCCAGTATGCTTATACGTTGCAACAAAGGTTCTGTTCCGTAGGAATATATCTTTAGCAAAGTTATTTTTTAAAAATTGAAAAATGTACGTAGAGGAACGTACGGGATTGCAGTGTGCATCGCTGCACGTTATAGTAATATTCCTACAATAGAATTACGTAACAAAGTGTGTGTTGAATAGCCGTGCGTGTAATTTACAGTCTAATGTAATTAGTTCTAATGTGTAAACGAATGGATGGGTGGTCAGAGTGTTTACGATTCTATAAACGCAAGACAAAGTATTTCACAAGAAACATCACGCCTGATTAACTTTTTTTTTTATGGTTTCGAGAACCAAGAAACGGTACTTTAAAGGTCGCTAAGGCATTTTTGCATATTTTTGATCGTGTCCATTATGAATGACATCGACGTGCATTCGTTCATGTGTAATAATATGCTTCTAACACGGCATTTGATTTTTAATGTGTAACATAAAACAATACGTGGCTGTTGTCAGGTTATCTCTTGACAATGATGCATTGTTTTTTGCGAAAAGCCGTATGTAATCGTGTCTACTAAATATGCACTCTAGGTAAAGCGTGTAAAATAAATGATAGTTCGAATAGAAAATTCTAGTAAAATAACGGATCGGACGAGCATCTGTGAATGACGAGTTTGACATGGCCAACCTGACGATATTTTCCAAGTTTTCTAATTCACCGAAAGGTCTAAGCGTCGCTCGAAATCGAAATCCGTCACTTTCATATTTTATAGATATTTTTTTAGGAATCTTTTTACATAATGTTTGTATTACTAAGGAAACATCTATATCTTACTAGATCTTCTATAGACCATACTTGAGAAGTAAACTTAAGTGTGTAACTGTATCGTTAGCTGTAGTTGCCGGCGAGGGCAGTCTCAAGTATGCACGTCGAGTGTGTCAAAAATACGATCAAAATTAAATTACGGGGCGTTTCACGATCGATAAAAGATCCTTTTCTCTTATCGTTTATGAAACTTTCCGTCGCGGTGGCGGATTTCGATTTTACAATTTGATTCTTAGTTTCTGTACAAAGCAACGTCCGCGAACGGCTATGTATCCTTCTTCTCCGCGACTCTGTAATTACGATTTATTTCGAGTAATCAACAACTCCGATTATACAGGGTTAAATTAAGGGACCATTCTACCTTGTAGGCACGAAAAATACATGTCTTTTGTGATTTTTTTTTTTACGGGCTATTAAAGAGCGATTAATTCCGGTTTTCGTAGATACATTTATTATATATTTAGCTATATTTACGAATTTTTGCAGCGCATAATATCTATTGATTACGCTGTGTTTGTTGATCAACAAACAACAGTTTTTACGAATGGCGCCCGACTGTGTATGTGATATCTTGCGAACAAGTTGTCCAAAATCCAAAATCCAACGATATTCTTAATATAGATGAGTGTGATTGTAGCATGAACTAGGATCTTTTCAAAAAAACAAAAAATGGCAAAATGGTAGCTATTTTACGAAGAAATACTGAATATTTTCATATATTCGGCTGCCTTTTTGTTAATAAAAGAAAAACTATTGCATATATCGCAATTATCCTAGTTCATGCTACAGGGAGACCAGTTCTAAAGATACTGTATAAATTACCTGTTGATATCTTGAATAGTTTCTTTGTTATCACATACGCAGTGCTGAAAAATGTAGTTTCGAGGAAAACAGCTTTTAATATTTGGTAGATATATTTTCGAGACTACGTGCTAAAAGAAAATGAAAAAACAATTCAATTTTTTTTAATCACACAAAGCAGAAAGGCAACTTAAAGTTTTAGGTCAGTTCATTTAAGTACATTTAAGTACATTTCAGCAGGCTATAACTTTGTTAGTTTTTCAAATTTCAATTTAATATTTGGTAGATATATTTTTGAGACTACGTGCTAAAAGAAAACGCAAAAAAAAAACTCGATTTTTTAAATCCCACAAAGTAGAAAGGCCCCTTAAGCATACACGGTCTCCATACTTGTACAACGAAATTGCAAAGTTCAGTTTAAGCGCGAACAAAGTTCCAAGAAAAAACTACATAATCCCGACGCGACACGCATAAAACTTGCGATGTTGAAAACGATCAGAGCCCAACGATCGAAGAAAATAAAAAGGAAACAAGGAGAATAATGAAATCAACAAGAAAGCGGAAACGGTAGTTAAGGGAAACAAAGATTAATCGAAATTATATAAAGGACTAACGAAAAGACGTTCCAACAGTTGTACATAGATTAATTGCCGTAGGATCGATCGAAAACCAATGTGACCTGAAATTAACGCGTTGTCGTTCGCCGTGACGACGCGAGAGCGACCTGTTTCGAGCGTTTACGAAATATCCTAAGCGGGATCGAAATCAATTGGCCGCATCGATTTTTTGCTCACCGTCGCGTATCGAACGATAGAAAACGCGACACTGGCTGGAAGTACGCGATCGAGACACGGGCCCCGGCGGCCATTTGTATTCGATCCAGCTGCAAACAGCGTTTGAATTAAGCGAGCGTTTTGTCGGTACTGTTAACATTTGTATAAACATTAGCGTGTACGCGGACCGCGAGACTGGCGTCCGCGATGGGATATTGAAATTTTCTATCGCAAATGAGAACAAATAATAATTAATTGGAACAAACCGATAGCACGTAAACGTAAAGTAAACGCGACGCGGGCTGACGCGTTGCAATATACCACTATGTTAACAATGAAGATTAATATACGATAATATTTAAGGAACTTCAGACGAGTATATGTCAGATAAAAAATAAAAACAAAATGTTATCGTTGTGTCTTCATAGAAAAAAAAAAAGAAATATGATTGACTCGTCGACGACGCGAATCCTCGAATCGACGACCCCTTCGCGAGTTCCTTCTTGGCTTTATAGTTGATCCGGAGGGATTCTGAAAGTCTAAAACCGTACCTAGAACTACCGAGCTTGCGACATCGAGACGATCCCTTATTTTCGATACGCGCAACGTTTACGTTCCAGCGAGACAGATTCATCAGGATAAGTTGATTTTCGATGGACGAATCGTGGACGATGCTTTCGAACGACGATTGTGATCCGTTACAGAACAACCACGATACTTATGTGCCCGATCGATGACCAATTCCACAGTACTGACGTACGTAATGCTTTCTTGCGACGGACACGCATCTCTTTGCACGTGTTTAGTACGTAACTTTCATGAGGATTTACCATATCGGTCTGTAGCGATTCGACCCTTTTGTAGTTCCAAAATCGGTAAAACTGAACGGAACTCTGCCGTTGGCTGTCTCTCAATTTCCGGAGCAACGGTATTTAATATTTTCGACAAATACGATTGAGTTAAATGTGGCATGTCGAGTCTAGACACTACAGAATCGATCCACCGTGCACTGTTTATTTGAACCGAGCAAAAATTTGGTAATAATTTTACAAAGTCCAGTGTCAGAGTTAAAGGAACATTGTTCTCTGATAAATCA